ATTGTAAAATTANTGGTCTATTACCAACATATATATATATATATATATATATATATATATTTATATATATATATATATGTGTGTGTGTGTGTGTGTGTGTGTGTGTGTGTGTGTGTGTGTGTGTGTGTGTGTGTGTGTGTGTGTGTGTGTGTGTTTGGACAGTCGTTTGGACGATTGATATTGTCGTTTCGTCAGTTAATTTTGGTGTTTTCGTCGTTAAAAGTAATCATTCATTGATATTTCTTTGGTTAGATTAACATAATTAGATTTTTCAATAATTTGATATCAAATTTAGTTTGTAAAATTCACTATTTTAGTGAAATTTGATAAAATATTGTCTGTAAATTGCTGTCACGTGATAAGAATTTCCCTGCTAGTAACAATTATAACTAATTATAATAATAAATTCAATAATGTCGTCTGGTAGTCGCTACTGTCGTACGAAATGTACAATAAAAGTTCCAAGTAAAGATTTGTTGTCATGCACTTGTTGCAAGACTTTTGTTCACAATAAATGTGAAACTAACGATGATATTCTTAAAATTTTGAGAAGTGTTAAAGTTTTAAAATGGTTTTATCAACGTTGTGTTGATTTGTCTCAAGATGTTAGTTCTTTGGCTAAGTCAATGGATGCGTCTTAAAATGAATTTGTTGCTCAACTAAATGAAATAAATGATTGTAACAGAATAATAAAACTTGATGTTGATAGTATAAAAATGGTCGTTGACCATAACCAATCTAAACTTGATGTACTTGATCGTTTTGATACTGTTTTACGCGAGGAAATTAAAATTTTTAAAAATGAAATAAAAGAAACATTTTCTAGCATTGTCAGCAAGGAAGTTAAATTGAATGTTGAAGTAATTAGAAGTGATGTCAAATCAATCCAGAAAACTTTACAAGAAGCTAGTGATGTTAAAGAAAGAGAAGCAAATTTATTGATGTTTCGTTTAGCTGAAAGTGATGATGATCGTTCCAATGTTTTGAAAATTTTAAAGCATTTGACAGATGTTTCTGAAAAATATGTAATCAAAATAATGAGACTGGGAGGGAAATGCGAAACTGTCGTTAGACCCATTTTGATAAAGTTAGATTGCGTTTTACTCAGAGACTCAATAATGAGAAATGTATATAAATTCAAGTCGTTAAAAGAATTTTCACATGTTAGACTGAACTATGATTTAACAAAGGATCAGAGGCAGGAATTCAAATCATTTGTTGATAAAGTTAAAGTTATGGAGAAGAAAACAATCAAAATTGATCTGATTATTTGTTCTCAAGATTTTCAAATTTCGGATATTAAGATTTTTCCCAGTGGGACATTTTCAGACCATAGTTTAATTCAGGCTAATATATCATTAACTCATAAGCGTCCTAAAATAGTCAAGAAACAAGTTAGATCCTGGAAATACCTAAATGAAAGCAATCTCATTAAATATGTACAGATTTCTCCATTATCAAGGTCTTGCCAAAGCAATAATATTAATATTGAGTTTGATATGATGTTCTGAACTCAAGAAATTGGCTGATGCAGTTGTTCCACTTCGTTTTGCGGAAGTCAGATGTGATGTTACTGCTCCATGGTATGATAGTGAATGCAAAGCTTTCAAAAGACTTTGTCGAAAGAAAGAAAGGAATTACAGAAAATATCAGACGGAGAAATGTAAAAATGAGTGGATAGCAGCTCTGAAAAATAAATCTAGGCTTTTTTCACAAAAAAGAAAGAGTTATTGGAAAAGACTTGTTGCAGATAATAGTGAATCTTCTAAAAATCTATGGAATGTTATTAAAAAAGTTTTTTGTAATCAGGTCACTGGTCAGTCATTGAGTGAAATTGTTGGTTCAGATTTGTCTCAATTCTTAAAATTTTTTAATGATAAAGTAAATAAAATTAAACAGTTTACCAATGTGAGTATGTATAATTGTCCGACTATTTGTCAAGCTCAGTACAATGGGAATTGTTCTTTTCCTGACTTTATGCTTTTAACAGAATCTGACGTTAAAAAAATTGTACTCAGTTTGCCATCAAAAACATGTATGATAGATGTCTTTCCGACCCATATTTTTAAAAAATATATTGATTTATTCATCGTTTTTCTTACCAGCATCTTAAATCTGAGTCTGAACAGTGGCACATTTCCTAATGGTTGTAAGCATGCTATGGTTTATCCGGTTTTAAAGAAAGTGAATATGGATCGAAATGATTTGTCTAGTTATAGACCAATTTCCAACATCTGTTTCATTTCCAAGATATTTGAACGAGTGGCTGCCAAACAGCTCTTGAATCATTTGAATGTAAACAACCTGCTACCAGTTCACCAATCTGGATATCGCCGCTATCATTCAACAGAAACTGCACTGCTTTGTGTGTTTTCTGAGTTGTTTGCTGTTTTAGACAAACAACATGTGGGTCTAGTCACGTTTTTAGATATGAGTGCGGCATTCGATTGTGTAGACCATCAGATTCTCTTGGATAAATTGGTTCATGATTACGGTATTTCCGGTACTGTTATCAGGTGGTTCAGATCATATCTGTTTGACAGAAAGCAACAGGTATTTTTCAATAATGTGTTATCTAATGAAACGGTTTTGACATCAGGAGTGCCACAAGGTTCAGTGCTTGGGCCTATTCTTTTTATCATGTATACCGCTGAAGTTTTTAAAGTAATTGATAATTTCGGTTTTAAATATCATGCCATAGGCCATGCCATGATGATATTCAGATTATAGTTAGTAATAAGCCAGAATTACTGCAATCTGAAATCAACAAACTTGTAACTTGCCTAAATAACATTGATAATTGGATGTCAAACAATGGTCTTAGATTAAATCAGCAGAAGTCAAAATTTGTTCTAATAGGTACATGGCAGCAGCTGATGAAACTTAATATCGACTCAGTGAAAATAGGAGATGTTAAAATAGAATTTAGTGACAACTAATCTGGGTTTCATTCTTGATTCTAGATTATCGATGCATGATTATATAAAGATGATAACAAATTCATGCTCCGGACAGATTCGAGAACTCTATAAACTCCGTTAGTCATTAGATAAATCTGCTATTCATACCTTGGTGCATGCATTTGTTCATTCACGATTGGGCTATTGCAATGGCCTGTTTTACGGTTTGCCAGATAGGTCTATTTTTGCAATTCAATCTATTCAGAATAGAGCAGCCAAATTGATTGTTGGAGATCTCAAATTTAACCATGTTACTCCAATTTTCAAGGGCCTTCATTGGCTTACTATAAAGAAAAGAATTAAATATAAAATATGTATGTAAAACTGTACATGGCTTGTTACCAAGTTATTTGATAGATAAAATAAAAGAGAAGTCTATAATGACGAGTGGTATGAACCTTAGATCAGATGATGGCATTTTACTGGTTGTACCTGATGTCAATCTGCAGATTGCATCAAGAGATTTTGCAGTATGTGGACCAATGGTTTGGAACAGTTTACCGAGATCTGTTAGAACTAAAGATTTGAAACTTGATGATTTTAAAAAGAAACTTAAAACTTACTTATTTTCGCTTTGATTTTGTTGTTAAGAGAATAATTATTTGTTTGTTACTACCGCCATTGACTGTATTCTTTTCTTTTTTGACTTTGTTTGGTTATAGATAGCGCTTTTGAGAACTTATATATATATATATATATATATAACTATATATAGAACTTATATATATATATTGTTTAGAAATATCACGGCTTTACAGACATTGTTCAATTTTTATTCATTTTTGCATATATATTATATATTCTTTATTTTTATAAGTATTTGCTAATTATATTAAATAAACAACGCCGCAGATGCAGATGCTGGATTATTTTCAGAGCTGTTGCAAAATATTGAAGTTGAATGTAGTATTTCATTGCCAAATGAAAAATGGAAACTTCACAACAACGTCGCTTCATTAAATTCATCAAGAAACTTTGACGTCGATTATATACAAAAAAATGATTTCAATGATGAAATTGGTGATAATATAAAACTAATAAAGAAGAAATTAAATCTGCCATTATTTGGTGTAGGTTGTTTATAATTATAAAAAATTACAATAATTTAATCATGTTAGGAAGAACTGATAGATAGTCTGGTAGAGTGATGAGATCGATGGTAGATTTAGGGGACAACAAAAATGTGAGCAAATAAGCAAAAATGTTGCCAGCCTAATTTCGGTAAAATTTTAGCAAAAATTTCGATAGTTTTTGGCCCATTGTCAAATTTTCATAATATTTAGCCTCACCGTCTACGTTTTATAGATCCGTCCCTGGAGTTATGTTATTGGAGAATGGAAATTTGTAGCTTGAACGGTATCCTTAATTTGAGAGAATTAGTTAGATTAAATTAAATTTAGTCAAGCTGGGCGTTATAACGAATTTTTTAGCAGTATATGTTAAAACATAATGTGCTCTTAACCCTTAATGATTATAACGACAATGATTTGGTTTTTCTCGATTAATATAAAGCAAATCATCAAAGTTCTTTTAACAAAATTTCTAAGAGCACACATCTGTTTTTAATTTATTTTAAGAAGACAAGTAAGTCTATCAGCTCATCTTTTTATCAACCTCTTTCTCCGGTTACAGAAGCTTTTACCTTAAATGTTTCGCCCGAACGATGATTCGCCAGAATGATGAAGATTCGTGCGAAAAAGTTTACGCCGATAAATGGAACATTTGCCCAATAAATTTTTCGCTCAAAAATTTTTTTCCTAACTCAAGAGAATGAACCAAACAAAGATATTATAAACGGACGGGACAAATCAGAATAAGAACACTTTGTTCACAAAGAAAATTGTAAAACTTTGAAATATTCATTATTATTTAATTATTTATTCAATTTATTCAGTTGACCAGAAGCTTAATATAAGCCTGTATGGCCACCCGAGACACAGGAAAAATTGAACAAAAACAATTAAAAAACAAAATTAAACATTAAAATGAATTATAATGTTTAAATAAATGACTATATAAACAGAATAGTAACAGTAATAAAGTGTTCAATGAAAAAACAAAATACTTAAGGCGTTTGTAATTGGTACAAGATCTTGCTTATAAAGGCAGTTGATTCCATAACCGCATGCCAGCAAACATGACACTTGCGACAAATCAATCAATCTTCGTTTAGCGTCCAGAGACCCAGTTCCCCAAGGTAGGACGTTGTTTTCTTTGCCATCAATTTTTTGCGCAAAATTAGACGATCAGTAGTATCCATTTCATTTAAATTTAGAGCTTTCATGTCGTGCTCGATTGTTTTTGACCAGGACTTCTTCGGATGGCCTTTGGGACGTGTGCCAGGTACTTCAACATCTGCAAAGGAAGTTATAGCACTGTTTCCACTTCGAAACATGGCCAATGACAACCAAACTGGAACAACAACTTTACCGAACCGATATGAAAATGCTCCGATAGATGCAACAAATTAGTCTGCTTTGGTTTTGCTGATGTTGTCTTTGAATCCATGATCGGCGAGTCTGGTGTTCCAGTCTTCAAACAACTGTGCTGCATTCTGCTCAGACGTGGCTGTTAAAACGATATCATCAGCATATATTAGATTACAAATGTCACCAGTGCGTATCGGTTTTGTGATTTTTTCCATCACAGTAATAAATAACAGTGGACTGAGAATCAAACTTTAGTGAACTCCAACGCCGATGTCAAATGCATTTGTGTTTCCAACCGTTGTGCTGACAAGAGTCTTAGTATTCGTACACATTTCCATCACAAGTCTAACAAGATATTCTGGAATGAGTTGTCGACGTAGACTCCACCTGATTGCTTCACGGGGAACTTGATCACATGCTTTTTCAAAGTCTACAAAAATTTGTGATAAGTATTGATGCATTGCGAGGTACTTTTCATGCAGTTGCCGAAAGATGTGAATTGCATCAATTGTTGATTTCCCCGCTAGAAAACCAAATTGATAATTTCCGATTGTGATGCACGACGTTAATCTTCTCTCATTGATTTTCTCGACAATTTTCAGGGAGTGTTCTAACAGACGTATACCCCGAAATGATGAACAGTTCATTGGATCACCTTTGCCTTTGTATAGCAAAACTGCCATGCTATAATTCCATTCAGTCGGCATTGAGCAATTTCTCCACACTTCACGACGAAGTTGTAGTAACGTTTGGATACCTGCCGAACCAGATGCTTTGATAATGTCATTTGTGAGTCCAGAGGGCCCTGCTGCCTTTCCATCCTTTATAGCTTTCAGAGCTTCAGTTGCTCCTCTACAGTGATGTCTGGAATCGAACCTTCGATGGGTGGATCGTCAAATTGACATTGATGGGATTTGTTTCGGTTGAAGTATTCTCTTCACTGTTGCTTGATCTCATCTTGTTCAAGAACCATCTCATTTTTGTCGTTTTTGATACATGAGGCGCCAACTATGTCTTTTTTCGTAAGATTTGCTTGTTTTGATATACGATACAGAGATTTCATTTGTTCACATTTGCTTTTAGTGAGCCACTCTCAGCACTGATCTGTCCGAGCTAGTGCGACTTGACGTTTTGCATAGTTGTTCATCTCACGAAAAATTTTATGGTCATCAACAGACTTTGATTTTTGCCATTGTTTTTATGCAGCTTTCTTTTTAGCTATTGCATTTTGTACACTGTCATTCCTCCACCAAGTGTCCCGTTCATGTGCCAGTAACGTTTGTAACGTAACGTGCATGTAACGTTTTGTACCAGTAATCCCACAAACTGTAGTTGCAGCGTTTATCAAAACGGTTTTGTATGTACTCCAATCTGTTCTGTCTTGCGATTGGTGGTCTAACCGTGTGGCGACAATCTGTTGAAATTTTTTTCGATAAATATTGCTTCCACCTTTTAATTCTCCGAGGTATTTGTTTAGACTTGTATTGTGACAGTTCAACAACCAGGTCTGCCACAATGAGTCTATGTTGGGCGACACGTGATTCGCCAGGTATAACTTTGACATTTTAGAATAGCCTTCGGTGTTTTTGCTTGACAGCGATGAAATCAATTTGCGTAGCTGATGGTCCACTTTTGTATGTTATGAGATGTTCCAACCTTTCTCTAAAATATATATATGTTCAGTAAATAAAACCCGTGACTTTCTGCAAACTCAAGCGGTTGCCATCTTCGTTTAGTTCTCAATAGCCAAAACCGCCACGTATGTTGTCAAAACCATCTGTTTTCTCTCCAACGTGGCCAATATGATCGTTCTTCAATCAGGATTGTTTCACATTTTGGTATTGTTGAGATGGTGTCAGAGAACGCAGCTCAGAAGTCATTTTTCATCTCTTCTGATTCGCCTGTCTGTGGTGCGTATGCTGAAAAAATAATCATTGTTTGCTTTTCTAGGCGAATCTTGATCCACATGACACGTGAGTTAATCCTTGGGCTAGCGGTTCTTTGACAACAATTTCAACACCATTTTTGGCCATCTTTTGACCATTCCAGAATAGTTTATATTTTTCTTTTTCTGAGTTGATATGACCGACACCATTCGATTTCCATCTTGTCTCTTGAAGGCAGCAGATGTCAATCCTTCTACGCTCGAGCATTTCTGCGATTTCCATGCTGCGGCCAGTCAGTGATCCAACATTGAGCGTTCCAAGTCTAAGTACCATAGAGGGGCCATTCTGAATTTTTCTGCAACATCCCTTTATTATTGCATACTTCCCAGAGATTCTTAGCACCTCTTGACCACTTAAGGCCTGCTGGGGACTAGGGGCCGTTGTTTTTGTTTTTGATGACATAGAATAATTTTTTTACAAATTTATTTAATTTATTTTTTATTTTTTTATATAAATTTAATTTTTATGTAAAAGTTTTTACATCCCGACACCCATCCTGACGACATCCACCAGTTATAAGCGGTGGGCCCAGTCTTTTGCTCAAAAGCACGCAAGGCAGCGTGGATGCAGTTTTATGTCATGCCCAGGACTGACACTTGCGACAAAACTTTAGTTTTTATTAATAGAAAATCAAATTCACTACGATGTCTAAAATTTAAATTTTTATTATATTTAAATCGATCTAAGGTAGACGAATATATATTTTATGAAAGAAAAAAGATTATATGATCAATCTTTCATAAATTATAAAGTACTGTAATAATTTTGACATTTAATTGGAGGATTTAAGTAACTTAGAGCTCTATAACCCAAAAGAGAAGACATTAAATTAAGTACGGGGAAAATCAAAGCATAATAAAGCATTAATGTTACATAAGAAGGACAATTTTTGATCAATTTATTAGTTATGCTCATTGTTTTTAAAATTTTATTAGAAATGTATGTAACAGGATTTTTCCCAGTTAGGTCAGATTTAACAACCACCTCTAGAAATCTAATGAAATCAATTTGGTCATTATATATATATCATCTATGCTTACTTTCAAGTTAATGTTCTTAGTAATTAATTTAGGGCCAAAAATCATAATATGAGTTTTACTAAAATTCAAAATTAATTTATTGGATAAACACTAAATGTATATTTTAGACTGTTCATTATTTATTACTTTAGAAAAGTCTGCTATATTATAGTCAGACTGATTAAAAAGAAGAGTCGTATCGTCAGCATAAAGAAAAACTTTTGCGACTGTGGCCGGCTCAATAATGTCATTTATAAACATTGAAAAGTATAGTTCCTAATATCGAACCCTGAGGTACACTAAATAAATAAAAAGGTAATTGATCGAACTTACCAATGACGGCATACTGACGTCTATTAGATAAATAACTTTGAACCATTTCAAGGCTTTTTTCTGATTCCGTATGAGTCCGGCTTAATCAACAAGATCTAATGATTTATTGCGTCAAAAGCTTTCTTATAGTTAATGAAAACTCCAACTGTACATCATCTTAATTTCATATTGGAATTTTGTGAACCATTTGCTGAACAGCAAGGTCACTTGACGATCGTTGTTTGAAACCATACTGAAATGGTGATAAAACGTTGTGACAATTTAAAAAATTAACCAATTTTGTAAAAAACATTTTGTTAATAACTTTAAAGATGGATGAAACTAAAGTTTTTGGTCGTTCAAAACCAAATTTAAAGAAATAAAATCAGATCCTACTACCGAACTCAAGACAAAACTGAACGAAATCAATTTACTCGTTGGTGAAAACCTCTATGATAACGTTAAAACCCACAAAACCAATTATCCTCTTTGTCCAATTATTATAAGTCAAATCCCAACAGCCACCTATCCTATAGCTAAGCTTCTCAACAAAATTCTAACTTCGTACACCCCTAATGACTACAATTTACAATCTTTCAAAGAATTCATGAGTTGTTTGAACACTAACCAGCCATCCAATCCTATCGCTTCCTTTGATGTAAAATCATTGTTTACCAATGTTCCCATCAAAGATACCATTGACATAATAATTACCACTCCAATCAAACCCCATTAAAATATCTAAACACGTGCTAAAGTTATTATTGTAAAAATAGGCACCACGGGAAACTATACAAGCAGATGGACAGAGTTGCCATGGGCTCTAGGTTTTTTTTTCGCCAACTTCTATATTGGTCTGGTCATCTGAAAAAAAATCAACTTATTTATTATAGGAATGCAAAGACATGAACAACAACTGCACTCCTCAACATGGTTCGGATTTAAAACGTAGCCATCTGATATATGAATTTACATGTCTCCTTAACGTGCACGTCAAGAATGTTTCATATATTGAAGTAACTACAACATAGCTAGCTAACTAGACGTCTGACCATGCACAAAAGGGAAGGTTCAATAAAACAAATAAAACTTGAAACACACACATAATACTGAAATTACAAGATAAATCCTGGAAAACAGCACCAAAATGATAAAATTCCAGCCATTCCCATCTGAAATTAGCCAAAGCCATCGACATAAAACAGCCCCTGATAAACCAACAACAAAAGATTTCAACAATGTTCCCGACAAGAAAGACAATAATAAAATATACTAACAATACCAATAGTACCGATGAAGACAGTGAAGAAAGTAACATCAGCACATTAAAGTTTAACACCAAAGTATTTAGCACAATAAAACATAATACCAAAGTAATTAGCCCGAACAAAGAAACCATATCAATTTGTAAAGAAGACAGTAAAATTAACAAAGTCACTAATAACATTAAATGCAAATTACAGGTACAACTTTAATTTTTATAACTATAGACCGGTTTCATATTTGTCGTTCTTGTCAAAATTAATCGAGAGAATAGTTTCTAAGGAGCTTAAGAAACACTTGGATGGAAACAATTTGTTACCGGTATATCAGTCAGGTTATAAAAGACATCACTCTACCAAAACTGCTTTGTTGCATGTGCTGTCTAAGTTGCATGAAATTATAAATAACTGGAAACCAAACCATCTTTTTTCGAATTCTTAGATTTGAATTCGGCATTTAGCTGCGCCGACCATTGCATTCTTCAGAAACGTCTTGATCACAGATTCGGAATAACTGGTATAGTCGAACAATGGTTTCGGTCGTACTTAACAGATAGAATTTAGCAGGTAATCTACAAGAATAGAACTTCTGCAGTTCAAACGATAGGATTTGGTATTCCACAGGGCTCGGTTCTTGAACCAATCTTGTTTATTCTGTATATCTCTGAAATATTTGATGATTGGAGAGTTATGCATTTGCAGATGAATCCTGTTAATTGATACAGAATCGTATAGAAAATTTCATTTTGCAGTTGATCGTTTTGTTAAATGTTTGGTCGAGCGAGAAATGTATGGCAAATAATCGTCTCAAACTAAATCAAAGCAAGAAGCAGCTTTTTTTGATTGGAACTTGGCAACAGCTATCTAGATTAAATTTTAATTTGGTTATCATATCAATATCAAGTTTTTATCTGGAACCCTACAACCCTACAACTGCGAAAATTATCCGTAGAAGTTTAACCAAAGATATTATTCAAAGTTTAGTGCATTCGTTTATCCATTATAAATTAAATTACTGCAACAGCCTATTTTATGGTTTGCCAGTAAAATCGTTATCCGTTCTTCAGTCAATTCACAGTCGGGCAGCAAAGATGGTGCAAAAAAATATGACCATGTTACCCCGACATTTAGAGAACTGCACAGGTTGACGGTCGAAAAGAGAATTATGCTCAAGATATAAACAATCATGTTGAAATGTTTGAAGGGAATGACGCTAGTTTATTCCATACATCAGCTTCTGTCTCCAAGCCAATCTATCCATTGCGTCTGTCTTCTTCAGACCAAGTGCCCTCAAGTCTTCCTGTATGGTCTGCGTCCAGGACTTCTTTGGGCGACCTCTTGGGCGGTGCCAGGCACCTGGTGTTTAGTAACAGAAATTTTTGTATCGTTTTCGCCTCGCTTCACATGGCCAAACCATCGTAGGCGATGACGACAACATGCATCCTTCAACGTGTACAGTCCAGATCTGTTCAGGATCTCGGTTGTATGGATATGGTCAACACGCTGTATCCATCGAATCATTTTCATGTCAGTTCGGTGAAGGGTTTTGTTGTTATCGGCCACGTCTCTGCACCATACATCAGAACAGAACGTATAGGTTTGTTGTATAGCTCACCATGCCTAATGTTTTAAATAAATATGAATTCAATAAGCTCAAATGTGTTGAGTGTTTAATAAAGAAAGCCATTAATGCAAAATGGGCATTTATCATCGGTTTGATGTTTGTTTCTTCATCGTTCCAACTCGGCGCTTAACCAACAACGAAAACAAAGAAGTAATAAAAACTAGCATTGTAAATAGTGACAAAGAAGAATATGATGCTATCGATGAAAAAAAGGAGACCAAAGAAGATGACCAGCCAATAAAGAAACCTGACACCTAATTTCCATCTATGTTCATTTTGACAACGTTCACCAAAAAACTTTAGTGAGAAAAATTAAAAAAAAACGAACTACAAACATATTAACGCCAAACATTCGGTAAAATTTATAGAATATTGTAAAAATTATGGTCTATTACCAAAATATATATATATATATATATATATATATATATACATATATATACATATATATATATATATATATATATATATATATATATATATTAAAATTTAGACCATATTCGATACAGTATTTAGATTGAATTTCAAACATTAAATTTCGTTTGTTGGTGAGTTGTTCAATTTTTTCTTCCTTAGTCATATTTCGTCGGTTGGTTCTAGATAATCTTGTGAAATTAGGATTTAGACCATATCCGATACAGTTTACAGTTAAAATATATATATATATATATATATATATACAAACAATTATTTTTAAAATTGCCCTACTGGTGTACAAAAGCATTAATGGATTAGCGCCGAAATATTTAATGGATAGAATTGTTCCAAGAAATGCACCGTTACAGTGTCAGAAGTTACGGTCAAACGATTTAGATTTGTTAACAATTCGTCAAACTCAGCTTGCTGTTGGTTGCAGAGATTTTGCTGTTATGGGACCGAAGATTTGGAACAGTTTGCCAGTTGACTTGCGAAATCGTGGGTTGTCAATTATTGAATTTCGAAGAAAGCTAAAGAACCATCTTTTCAGTCAAACTTTTCATGATATGATTTGATTGAAGTGAAACATTCAATCAACTTTTGCATTAGCGCATTTAATCAACTTTTACATTGTTAGCGCCTTTGAGAATAATAAAGGGCGCTTTATATATAAATAATCTAATAATATATAAATATATTTAATAATATATATATATATATATATATATATATATATATATATATATATATATATATCATCGGCCACGTCTCTGCACCATACATCAGAACAGAACGTATAGGTTTATTTTTTAGCTCCGAGACCATGCCTAATGTTTTAAATAAATATGAATTCAATAAGCTCAAATGTGTTGAGTGTTTAATAAAGAAAGCCATTAATGCAAAATGGGCATTTATCTTCAGTGATGTTTGCACATATATATATATTTAACTTTTAGACTTTTCTAACGGTTGATCGTAAATCATTTTCAAGTTTCTTTAGTTCAAAACCAAATTTTTTTTGTTTATTTTAAGCATGGTAGAACAGAAAAGCTTTTTTCGGTATTCCTATACCATCTTCGGTGTTCAAATTGTTAAGTTGTGGTTGTGCTCAGATGCTCAAATATATTTATATATATACCTCTTTATTGATTCCTTGTTTGTTTAAAGTGAATTGTAGAACTAAATATTCACTTTAAAAACAAACTAACGCTGAATATATATATATATATATATATATATATATATATATATATATATATATATATATATATATAGCGTTTTGTAGTTTTTGTAAAAAATAATAATAATAAAGACTATTAATATTAAAAACAATAATCATAACAATAATAATAACAATAATGATAATTCAATTAATTTCGCGCCTCACATGTTTGTCGCCTTGACAACTATCGTTTAAACAATTTAAAAAAATTTCGTTGTTAAAATTTTTCATTACAATTCCATGTATCTTTTTCGAATTTATTTGTATATATTTCAAGAATTTTGATAAAATGTTTGTTAATAAAAATAAAGCTTCAATTTTAAAAAACTTAATCTTGTCGATAAAATTTACAGTGACAAATTGAAAAATTCGAATGCAAGTTGATAAACACCTATAAATCACTACACACACACATATTATATATATAAATATATATATATATATATATAGCAAAAATGCAAACATATATATATATCATTGCAAGCGTGTTTGTCTGTGTGTTTTTGGTGGTAACCAAACATGAAACTCTGAATTGAAAAAATTATTGTTACAGAAAGCATTCCAACGATCGAATCATACACTCAAAGTATTATTTTGAATTATCACTCGAAAGTCTCATCGGGCGAATGTTCCAATGGTTACCTCTTTCTCCATCTCACCACGTTTTTTGACAATCTTGTCCTATCTTTATATCAAAATATAGTTAGAATACAATAAAACATTCAGACACATAATCATCCGCCTTCAAATCCATTATTACTTAATTCTTTTTGTTTTTCAAAAAACAAAAAAAATTTGGTCCTGGGCATGACATAAAACTGCATCCACGCTGCCTTGCGTGCTTTGAGCAAAAGGCTAGGCCCACTGCTTATAACTGGTGGTTGTCGTCAGGATGAGTGTCCGGATGTAAAATTTTTCCCTAAATTACTCCTATGCCATCACAAAGAAAAACAACGGCCCCTAGTCCCCAGCAGGCCTTAAGTGGTTAAGTGGTGCCAAGAATCCCTGGGAAGTATGCAATAGCAAAGGGATGTTGCAGAAAAATTCAGAATGGCCTCTCTATGGTACTTAGATTTGGAACGCTCAATGTTGAATCACTGACCTGCCGCAGTATAGAAATCGCAGAAATGCTCGAGCGTAGAAGGATTGACATCTGCTGCCTTCAGGAAACCCGATAGAAATTGAATGCTGTCTGTCATGTAAACTCAGACAAAGAAAAAAATAAACTATTCTACAATGGTCAAAAAGACGGCCAAAAATGGTGTTTGAATTTTTGTCAGAGAACCGCTAGCCCAAGAAGTGCTGGATATTTAAAGGATTAATTCACGTCTCATGTGGATCAAGCTTTGCATAGAAAAGCAAACAATGATTATTTTTTCATACGCACCACAGACAGGCGAATCAGAAGAGATGAAAAATGACTTCTGAGCTGCGTTCACTGACACCATCTCAATAATACTAAAATGTGAAACATTCTTGATTGGAGGCGATGTCAATGGCCTCGTTAGAGAAAAAACAGATGGTTTTGACAATGTACATGGCGGTTTTGGCTATGGAGAACTGTATGAAGATAGCAACCGAATCCTTGAGTTTGGTGAAAGTCATGAGTTGTGTTTACTGAAGATATTTTAGAAAGAGGTTGGAACATCTCATAACATACAAAAGTGGACCATCAGCCACGCAAATTCATTTCTTCGCTGTCAAGCAACAACATCGAAGGCTATTCAAAACGTCAAAGTTATACCTGGCAAATCATGTGTCGCCCAACTTAGAATTCTTGTGGCAGACCTGGTTGTCGAACTGTCAAAACATAAGTCTAAACAAATGCCTCGGAGAATCAAAACGTGGAAGCTGAAATGCATTATTCATCGAGAAAAATTTCAACAGATTGTCGCCATACAGTTAGACCACCAATCGCAAGCCAGTACAGATTGGAGTACATACAAAACCGTTTTGATAAACGCTGCAACTACAGTTTGTGGGAAAACTGGTACAAATGGTCAGCATGAACGGGACACTTGGTGGTGGAAGAACAGTGTACAAAATTCAATTCCTGAAAAGAAAGTTGCATACAGGCAATGGCAAAAATCAAAGTCTGTTGATGACCATAAAATTTTCCGTGAGAACAACTATGCGTGACATCAAGTCGCACTGACCCGGACAGATCAGTGCAAAAAAGGTGAACAAATGAAATCTCTATATCGTATAGCAAAACAAGCAAAACGTACCAAAAAAGACATAGTTGGTGCCTCTGTATCAAAAACGGCAAAAATGAGATGGTTTTTGAACAAGATGAGATCAAGCTACAGTGGAGAGAATACTTCAACCGTTTGTTAAATGAAACAAATCCCATTTATGTAAAATTTGACGCACCACCCATCGAAGGACCGATTCCAGACATCACTGTAGTGGAACTTATAGAAGCTCTGAAAGCTATGAAGGATGGAAAGGCAGCAGGGCCCTCTGGACTCACAAATGACATTATCAAAGCATCTGGTACTGCAGGTATCCAAACGTTGCAACAACTTTGCCTTGAAGTGTGGAGAAAATGCTCAATGCCGACTGAATGGAACTATAGCATGACAGTTCCGCTATACAAATGCAAAGGTGATCCATTGAACTGTTCATCATATCGGGGTATACGTCTGTTAGAACACTCCCTGAAAATTGTCGAGATAATCAATGAGAGAAGATTAACGTCTTGCATCACAATCGAAAATTATTAATTTGATTTCCTAGCGGGGAAACCAACAATTGATGCAATTCACATCCTTTGGCAACTGCAAGAAAAATACCTCGCAAAGCATCAACAACTATCACACATTTTTGTAGACTTTGAAAAAGCTATTGATCGAGTTCCCCGTGAAGCAATCAGGTGGAGTCTACGTCGACAACTCATTCCAGAATATCTTGTTCGACTTGTGGCGGCGTGACATCCCACTACTACTACGATTAAGACTTTATAACTCTGTGATACATCCGGTGTTGTTATATTGTTCAGAAACATGGCCAATGACAACCAAACTGGAACAACAACTTCAACGAACCGACATGAAAATGCTCCGATGGATGCAACAAATTACATCAAATCTACTGAAATCCTGCCTCGTGCTGGTTTAAATGATATAAAGGACGAATGCCGGCAACACCGTCTGCGGTGGTTTGGTCATGTCAAACGAAGTGGAAACAGTGCCATAAGTTCTCTTGCAGATGTTGAAGTATACGGCACACGTCCCAATGGTCGTCCAAAGAAGTCCTGGTCGCGAACAATCAAGCAAGACATGAAAGCTCTAAATTTAAATGAAATGGATACAAATGATCGTTTAATTTGGCGCAAAAAATTGATGGCAAAGAAAACGTCTTACCTCGGGGAACCTGGTCTCTGGACGCAAAACGAAGATTGATATATTGATTGATTGTTTTTCAAAGATAATTTTTATCATTTATGTAGTTTTATGTTATTTTATTGCTCTGTGAAAGCGGTATTTTGAAAAATTTTGATGTATTACTTAGGCTAGCATACTAAAGTTCAATATGAGCTTTTTTCTATGATGTAAAACAGCAAAGTATTTATTTTCTTTTAAAGTTGAGCCACAGAAATTCAAAAATTGATGACATGATGAAAATGGAATTATTTTTGTGCAACCTATTTTGACTTTTCTGTTTAAAAAAAGTTTTTGTTAATAAAACCAGGCCACCTCCTGGTCCAGTGGGCCATCTTATTTAAAGATAATATAGTTTTTAAATAAGCTATTTTGAGAAGTGAGTTGAATTTTTTTGTCAAGTTGTTATGCATGGTAATGTTAAGTTTCTTGTTAAGATTACTTTAAAAAATAAAGGGAATTTCTATGAACTTTGATTTAGAAATAAAAAGATTGTGGAAATTTTAATGGTCAAAAGTATTAGGTTGAGATGATTTGGTCACTGGAAACATGCGAAAAGTTACCCGGGTCTAACGTTATTGTTAAATTTGTACTTTAATGGTCAAAAGTATTGGGTTGAGATGATTTGGTCACTGGGAACATGCGAAAAGTTACCCGGGTCTAACGTTATTGTTAAATTTGTTTTCATTTATGACTGATTTGAGATTTGGAATATTTGCAAAAAAGAATGCAACGCAGAATAGTATGATAGTCAACCTACTGTGGTTTTGAAAATTTAAAAAAAAAAACAAATTTTTTTAGTATTTTTAAATATTTAATATATTTAAAGTATATTTAAATGAAAATATTATGTCATGATTTCAGCATGAAATTATCAGAAAAAAGTTGAAAACTGACAGTTGTAAAAGGACACAGCAAGAAAAAATCATGCCTAAAATTTTTGGTAACACTCTTTATATATGAAATAAATTTCACGTGTCAAACTAAATTTTGTAGCTTAATCCAAGTTGTAAGTGTAAAAACCGTTTTTTGTCACTGTAAAAATTTATTCTTGCTTGTATAAAAATCACTTTGTATGTTCAATTTGTTTTGTTTTTGATGTCTTAACTCGTGTTTAACACTCATATGCTAAATCTGCATCTGCTTTTACTGGTCCTTTTTTTTGTAAGTCTCTACCTTATCTCTTCTCTTCAAAGAGTACAAAATAGACTTGCTAAACTTGTTCTTGACATATCTCATATAACATCAAGTTTTTGCACTAGTTGCCAATTCATTAGCAAATCATCTTCAAATTATGGTTATTGCGTACCAGGTGATACACAATCAGCAACCGCCATATCTTTACAATCTTGCGCACTCGTCAGAACGATGGACACCAACTTCGATCTAATGTCTCTAATAATTTATATCAACCCGTTAGCAAATCGGCTCTTGATAATAAAGAATTGCTTATTAAAATCAGTTGGATTTTTTAAAAATTCCTTGTGAAGATTATTTTTAAGTTTAGGCAATTTCAGTAGCTCATTTGTGAACCATGGTTTTTTGAATTTTTTCTTAGTGACTTGAGTTTTAAGACAGAATTTAGAAATGGTAGAGGTAACATATTTCAGAAATATGTTAACAGCAATATTGACGTCAGCTGAAGCAAAGACAGCCGACCAATCAAGGGCTAACATCTGGTTATTAACCTTTTCCAGGTTTCGCCTAGAAAAATATAACTTATCTACCACCTCAACCTCAACATCTGATACTTTTTCTTCAGCTATTGTAAATATATGTAGGTGACCCGATATATCACTGAAAATGATTCTAGAGACATGAGATACTAGATTGTTTGTATATATGTTGTCAATGAGAGACGAACTATGGTCGGTAATTCTGGTGTCTTTAGAAATCAACGGACGATAATGCAATGAATATAAGGTATTAGCAAAATAGGAAATAGAATTATTATTGTCAGACCAAATTAAGTTAATATTAAAATCATCTACAATATAGATCTTTCTTTGACGTAAAGCCTTATTCATTCTTAAGGCATTAGAAAGTTGGTCTGTAACAACAAATGGAAAAAACAATAATTATGACTTTTTGATTGTCTTTTACTTAAATTTCAATTGCCATGGATTCATAACCCTGCGATGAGGATCGTAAATCAACAAGCTATAGAAGAGCAAGATCTTGGTGCACAAATAAACCAACCCCACCACCTCGCTGAGTAATTCGGTTATTGTAAAAGAAATTATAATTTGGAATTGCCACTAAAGGAGCCTTATCATTATTTAACTACGTTTCAGTAATAGCGATAATCATAAATTTAATGTCACATTGATGTAAAAAGAGGTCAATTTCAGCTAATTTGTTTAAAACACTTTTAGTATTAAAATGCAAAATACTATAATCGTTGACATTAGAAGAAAATGAATTTTCAACATTATCAACATTAAAATAATTGCAAGAATTTATCGTTTTACCATAATAATTCACATCACGATCTATATCACTAGCCATTTGTAAACTGCGGTGTTTGGACCGTTTGACTGAGGCCTTTGTGGGAAAATCTATTCCCGTACCTTGACCTGAATTGGCCATTAGTCGATGTTTTTTACTATGTCGGTAAATTTGCTGTTGACGCATAACCTGAAGGATTTGGACTGATTCGTATTTTAGGATTGGGTTCAACGGACTTTTTGAACGCTGGATGGCAGGAAATGGCCTCCACTCCTATGAATCACAAATGTTCAATCAAGTCACTAGTTTATCTAGCAACGTTGCTGATATGATAGAATTTTCTACTAGTCATTAATCTACTAGCTGCAATTTTCGAGTTCTGAGGCAGTTTACGCCCAACCAAATTTTTCACATTCGACTTATTATGTGAAGGTGAATCAACAGGCTTCTTTCTGTGCTCGACCAATTTGAAACCATCTTGACCTTTTATTTGCGTTTCTAAAGGTACATCATCCGCCCAGTTAGAACCTCGGGGGAGTGCAGAATTAATTTTCTTATCAACGTTTACTTCAGACGACCTACATTACTATTGGTCGCTATAGTATTTTATTTGTCATTGACCACGCAAATGCTTCACTTTTATCATTGATAACGAGATGTTGGTAAATTTTCAGAACTCTCAAACTTTACCTTTATAACATTTTCTAAGCAAGGAATTTTCTTTAAATCTCAACTAACATATACGGGACATTTATCCATTAAGCCATGAGTTTTAAGACACTTCAAAATAGAAATACAACACAGTAATTTATCTTTTTTCTTAGTATCCTGCGTTGTGAATTTTTCACAGATTTCATCTTTAACAGCTTCATAATCATTTTTTAACAATTTAACAGCACCAGAAATATCTTCGAGTGTGTAAAATTCAGGAACATTATAAATGAAACTTTCTTTGTCCAGCAAATCAAATTTATTAATTAAGAAGTACAAAACTTCATTAATTACGACAGACATTTTGTTTACTTTTCGCCAATCACATATATATTGTCGGAAATTTTAAAATAAAAGATAAGGAGATTTTCAAATTATGACTAAGCCCCACGTTGGGCGCTAATTGTCGGAAAATTTATAAATGAAAACTATTAAAACAACTGGTGGTGTGAGATAATCTCCTCCTCTATCTTTCTCAGGGAATTTTTTTATGGTCCGACAATAATTTTTGTGTATATTTTTAACGTGAGTTCGACCAGTCCTGTGTGGCACTGGGCTTTTTCGAATTATATGATTTTACTGAGTAACACACGAACGCGTAAAGAAAAATATTCGATAACAATTTTATTAATCGACGGAAGTAAATAAAAATGAATTGAACTAATGAACTCTATAATAATGTAAATGTCAATGAACAAACTGGAATACAGGAATTAGAACTTCTTCTTGTTGGGTCTTCGACTTGGGATATGTTTCTTGCCGTTTAATCGTACAACCTCGACGTGTGTAACCGATAGTGATGTCGATACAACTCCAAGAAATAAATGAAATGAATGTGGAAAAATTACAAAAATCGGAGCCTATGGAAATTGCAAGCTGCGTGTGAAACTATACCAATGAGTATAGAATCCAGCAAAGAAGCCTAGGTCGACAAATAGCACAAGAAAGAAAAGAAGGAGGCGGATTGGTTTTCACAGAACCCAAGGCCTGTTTTCACTGGGCCTGTCTGTCAGTCGGTCGGCTTTCGCACAACCCTGGCCTGTTTTCACTGGGCCGTCAAGTCTGATCGGCTTTCGCACAACCCTGGCCTGTTTTCACTGGGCCGTCGAGTCTGATCGGCTTTCGCACGACCAACACAAAACAACAAGAGTCGGAACAACACTGGAAACAAATTGTGTGACTTTAGTACGCGTGCGAAACTATGCCAATGAGCATAGAGTCTCGTACCAAATCCACTTTTGAGAACTTAAGACGTTGGAAACTATGCCAATGAGCATAGAATCACGCATTAAGTCTCTTAGATACCAGAATAGGCACTGATTACTCGAAGCTGCCTAACTGGTGAACCCAAGGCTGACTCTTTTTGAGAACTTAAGACGTTTCTGAAACTATGCGAATGAGCATAGAATCACGTATTAAGTCTCTTAGGGATCAGAATAGGCACCGATTATTCGAAGCTGCCTCACTAGTCAACCCGGTCTTTCAGTCTTTTCACACCCTTCCTTATCAAAGCAAAATTAGATTTTGTTTCGGGTGTTTTAAAAAACATAAAAATTTTCAAGGTATGTCCAATTAATCAGAAAAAGTACTAATTAAATTTTAAAATAATTTGTAATAATTTATGACGTCATCTAAATTGCAAAACAAACAAAAATCGTCGTCACCTATCGAGTAAATTAACTTGCACCATGCCCCCTATCGAGTGAATAAATTTCGCGTTGAAAATTTTGCAGTATTTTTAGTCAGTATTATTTCATAATTCTGACACTATATATATGTACATATACATTTAATTGGCGCTATATAAGTTTCCTATTGATTGATTGATTTATTGATATATATATATATATATATACAAATTTAAACGCAGAATCACTATATATATGTATATATATAATATATATTTATATATAAATAATGGGCTTAAACGTAAGTTATATATGTGTCAATTGTTGGTTTCTTAGCGGGGAATCAATCAATCAATCATTAGGAAACTTTTATAGCGCCAATTAAATGTATATGTGTATATATATATATATGTGATTGGCAAAAATTAAACAAACATGTCTGTCGTAATTAATGAACTTTGATAATTTCCGATTGTGATGTGCCATGTTAATCTTTTCAATGATTTTCTCGACAATTTTCAGAGAGTGTTCCAACAGACGTATACCCCGAAATGATGAACAATTTAATGGACCTTTGCCTTCGTATAGCAGAACTGTTATGCTACAGTTCCATTCAGTCGGCATTGAGCAATTTCTCCAGATTTCACGGCAAAGTTGTAGTAACGTTTGGATACCTGCAGTACCAGATGCTTTAATAATGTCATTTGTGAGTCCAGAGGGCCCTGCTGCCTTTCAATCCTTCCTAGCTTTCAGAGCTTTTGTAAGCTCCTCTACAGTGATGTCTGGAATCGGACCTTCGATGGGTGGAGCGTCAAAGTCAGAAGTCATTTTTCATCTCTTCTGATTCGCCTGTCTGTGGTGCGTATGCTGAAAAAATAATCATTGTTTGCTTTTCTAGGCGTATCTTGATCCACATGACACGTGAGTTAATCCTTGGGCTAGCGGTTCTTTGACAACAATTTCAACATCATTTTTGGTCGTCTTTTGACCATTCCAGAATAGTTTATTTTTTTCTTTGTCTAAGTTGATATGACAGACACCATTCGATTTCAATCTGGTCTCCTGAAGGCAGCAGATGTCAATCCTTTTACGCTCGAGCTGCTGGGGACTAGGGGTCGTTGTTTTTTGTGATATCATGGAATAAATTTTTGGGGAATTTTTTACATCCGGACACCCATCCTGACAACAACCACCAGTTATAAGCGGTGGGTCTAGCCTTTTGCTCAAAAGCACGCAAAGCAGCGTGTATGCAGTTTTATGTCATGCCCGGGACTAAAACGTTGAAAAACTTCTGTCAAAAAAAAAGAAAGATAAAAAGATGTAAAAATTTTCAAACCATTTTCTACAATCTGTTCATAATAAAGTTGATTAAATGGATTAAACAGCAAAAATCATACGAATGTTAACTTTTTTATTATCTAAAATAGATATAAAAATGTACGAAAATAAAATTATGTAAATATAATTTAAAATGATGGAATAATTCGAATAGTCGTCATTGCTCGTTGTATTATGAAAAGTACATTGATGATAAAAAGAAGTATAGAAGAGGTAAAAACTTGATCATGCATTGTTTCCATCGCAATATATTGCATATGATGACGCTATTACATTATTAATTAAGCTTAATCTAAATTGGTCAGTTTATTTAACAATAATTGTCCATAATAATATTGATAATTTAATTCTAATATTTGATCTTATTGTTTTTAACGCTTCAATCGATTGTTTTTTTTATAATTTCACGTACCATTTTCACATCGTTAAAATTTTACACATGTTTATACAAGCATTAAATAAACAGAAATAAATAAGTATTTGTAAATTTTGTATACTAAAAACAGTTGCTTATATATATTAAATAAATAAATATATTGAATGTTTGCATTTACAGTATATATAGTAAATGTTTTCACGACTGAAAACACTTATAAAGCTTTTGCTTTGTCTTACATAACAGTTTTAAATCTGATAATTTCTACATTATTTGATGCTTTATGAGGCGTTTTCGCTGAAAAATGTTTAGAATTAATGAATGTTATAATCTTATAATGTCTAAAATCATTTTTTTTTATTTTAGATTCCAATTACATTTTTAGAATTAATTCTCCAATATTAAATCCGAGAAAGGTTGTTTTATTTCGTGTTAGCAAATTAACAAACTAAAATTTTAATAGCAATTTACATAACTAAAACGTTTCAATCGTCATCGTTTTTGAATGTTTTCAGTTTTTTCAACTGTATGGTTTTCTTTTTCATATTTTTTGAAATTTGTAAATCTAATTTTAAGAGAAAAACAACGATGCGAGATAATTGCTTTAAAAATGAAGTTGGTTGTCCAGCGCATTCGGTAATATTTATTATCTTCCATTGTAGATGATGGCATATCGTTATTCACAACCAGCGTCTATAATACACAAAAATGAAAAACTGTTAAACATATTAAAATTGGTTTTCCACTTCACTGCCATTTTGAGATACGAGTTTTATGTAAATCATTATATTAATATATCTTACTAAACGTCTATTACATTATCCTGTTAACATTTTTACATACCTGCAAGTTTAAGTTTTTCTTTGTCTTTTTACAGTCTTGGCATTTTTAACAATGATTAATTAAGATTAAAATGCATAAATTAAGAGCTGCAATAAAAAATCATTTTATCGATAATCACGAAATAGTAATTACTTGTGAGATTCTCAACAATAGCACAAAAATACTGTATCGCAATAGGAATACTTTTCAACTTAAAATTTTAGAAACACTAACATAAACAAAGAGAACCTTGTGCTAAATATACGACAGAATGCAATAACTTTACAGTACAAAGTAACTACCAATAAAAAGATAATGGATCAACGCAATGTGAGTTATCGGTGCCAATAAAGTAGAAACGCATACCTGTAACTATATATAAAGTACAACCATTAGTTAATGACATACTACTTTGAAAATGTTAAGACTTAACGAAAAAAGTAGTTGAAAAAACAATGATAAAAATACGGTAAGAAATATTGAAAAATTGAACCAGAAATTGATCAAAGCTGAAAATGCAGTAATATTTTTTAACAATTGTCTTAACTCTAATTGTATATATATATGTACAATTAACCCTAATTGTATATATATAAATCAATTGCTGTTCGTTAGTCTTGTTAAAACTCGAGAACGGCTGAACGGATTTATCTTATCTTGGTTTTGAAATGTTTGTGGAGGTCTAGGGAAGGTTTAAAAAGTAAAAAAAATTCCTAAAAACAGATAAATTGTCATGACTTGTAGAATGAGAGTTTTTGAAAAAGCCGACAAGGCTGTGTAATTTCGTATGAACTAATTATTATTCGGAAATCGAGAATTGTTACAGGTCTAGCGAAAAATAGAAAAAGCGACATACATGCAAAATTTAAAAACATTCTTTGTTAACAAACTTATGCAACTCAACACGTGTGCCTTAACAAGGGAAACCTTGTGCAAGCATTAGATTTAAAAATAAATGTTATATTTACATAAATATATTTATTTATTTTTATTTATATATATAATTATAAGAAATATAACTGCATTTTCAGCTTTGATCGGTTTCTGGTTTAATAAAATAAAAATGAATAGAAGAGTAGTTTAATAAATGATGTAAATACGGTACGAAATGTTGAAAAACATGATGGAATTACGGTACG